CATTTTACCTTAATGAAGAATCTTTCTTGTAATAATCTAAATAGGGAAAATCAAATGATCATCGAACATCATATTGAATATATAAGATATCTCATTGAAAGTATGACATCTCTTATAAAATATACGAAAAAATCTCATAACTGCTTTAAGATATGAGTGTGTTCTCCTTTCTCCCACTTTTTAAAAAAAAAAACATAGAGGCAGTAATGTTGTGGTAGCAGTTATAGTCTGTTTCATATATATATTACCTGTGTTCTCCCACATTACCTGTGTCATATATACAGTACTGTCATATACATGTAGCTTTGATATAGTCTATTTTCATAATTTTTATCCGTTTTTTTCATATCATATACCATTTTCATCTATACAAAACATACAAAACAGTAACAAATATTTTATATATTTTACATACTTAATACTATATATATAGATGATAATGCTTTGATTAACTTAACTTTCAAATTTTTAAATTTTGATTGATCTTGATTTAATTTAGGGTGAAGCAAATTCATATTGGAGCATTATTTTCAGAGAATCTATTTTACCAATAAATGCGTCTTCAGTGTAATTATTAATAACTTAGTATCACTTATTAGATTAATTTCAACAACTCTACGCCAACAACGATGATGTCCGACAACTTGAACGGCGTGCCGCTGTACTACCCCTTGTTCCGTTAGACCGTGTAGAAGATGTCTGGTTCAATGCGCTGGAGGACATAGACGATGCTGATGTACCACAGGACACCACTCCATTTACAGATTACGTCGTGACACAGTGGATTGACCGAAATCAACAATTCTGGAACCACTTTGAGACCGAGGGACCGCGAACAACCAACCACATAGAGGGATGGCACAGAAAACTGAAGAAGAAAGTGGAACACGCCCACCCCAACAACTACAGCATTATCCGCGTCTTCCATGAAATACAAGCCAGCAACGAGATAACGCGCATCCAACACTCAGCAAGAGGACAACTCAGACCAAGAGCAAAACGCTACCGTAACATCGACAGCCGCCTTAACCAACTAAAGAAACGCTTGGAGAATGGTACAACAGATATAATCCAGTATGCCGACACAGCATCCCATCTTTTGCATTTAGAGTGAAATTGTGATAAATGTGCTTGTTATGGAATTTTTATTTGGTGCGCTGCTAGGATTTCTTAAAATTATGGACTTTTCTTTATCTGCGGTTTTTATGGACTTTCCAATATTTCACCTTCAGTAAGTTAGTGCTATTATATTAGTTTTATATCATGTATCTTTGTGCATATGTGCAATTTATGAATATGATTGATTTGATCAACGAGTGCTGAGTATTCCATGTGTACATGTAATTAATTTTGTTTTATTTATTTTCATTCCCAGCTTTGCATCTGTTTTTGCATATTTAATAATGTAATACATGATCTCTGTCTATACTGATTATATTTGTTATGAATTGTTTGCTAAATTTAGTGCTATTTTAGGAAATCTATATATAACATACATGTAAATGTGTAGTAAAAATGTATAAAATTGATTTAATATGAAATTAATAAAAGCAGGTTTTCAGTTAATGTATTTTGATGTGGTTTTATTAAGTAATAACTGGAATCTTGTATATATTAACTTATAATTCCAGTAAATATTACGAAAATCAGGTAATATATTTGGTAAATCTTCCTATAACTAACACAGTATTTCCTATTGGTGAACAGGTAAATAATCCACCTATACTATACCAGAACAGACCATAATGACACGTCTATTGTTTTCCAGTGTTTATATAATTCCTTTGATCAGAAAAAAAGTGGGAGAAAGGAGAACAACCCCAGACATGTATCATTGGTTCATTGTCTACACATACAGTGTACGAATTACACGGGTTGCAATGTTTCAAGACCAACTTTGTGTTTTTGTATCTTATCAGTGCAAGCAGGTCATCCCGTATAATTCATTTAAAAGAAGAACACTTTTATTATCATCAAACAATTATTGTTAATTGTTAATTTTGTCTAACAAATGTGATTTAAAATACGCGCCACTTGATGACTTTGAGGTGATCACATTTACCTTAATAAAGAACCATTCTTGTAATAATCTAAATAGTGAAAGTTCCCTTATTATGTGACATCATATAAAGAGAAGTCATTGAAAGTATGACATCTCTTATAAAATATACGAAAAATTCTCATAACTGTTTTAAGATATGCATCATTGGTTCACAGTTTACACATACAATGTACGAATTACACGTGTTGCAATGTTTCAAGACCAACTAACCCCTTTGTTAGGCTTGTTTGTTTATAAAGTAAAACTTTGATACATACATATATTTCTGAACTAATGGATCTTAATGAAGGCTTTAAGATCCATTTAAAGGTATATAACTAATTTTACATGATATGTTTTTAATAACTTGGTAAGATGTAAAGAACATCCTAGGTACATTGATGAACATTATGTTTAGGTGAATGGGATTGATACGTTGATAGTTTTCACGTGTTTAGTGAACGAGATAAAATATAAATTATACAATTAATAAAAAACTGAAATATTCTATTAATAATGTGCAAAAGAGAAAAAAATATTTAAACTGATGTAAAAAAAAAAAAAATGCAGCCGGCAATCAATGTCTGACTGAAAAACTGTTTTAGTCGCTGATACTTGCTGGTATTGGTATGGATGGTTGTATGGGGTTAACTCTCTGTGTTTGATGTTTTAGTCGCTGATACTTACTGATATTGTAATGGAGTGTTGTATGGGGTTAATTCTCTGTGTTTAAGGTTTAGTCGCTGATACTTGCTGGTATTGGTATGGATGGTTGTATGGGGTTAACTCTCTGTGTTTAATGTTTAGTCGCTGATACTTTCTGATATTGTAATGGATTGTTGTATGGAGTTAATTCTCTGTGTTTAATGTTTAGTCGCTGATACTTGCTGATATTGGTATGGATGTTTGTATGGGGTTAACTCTCTGTGTTTAATGTTTTAGTCGCTGATACTTTCTGATCTTGTAATGGATTGTTGTATGGAGTTAATTCTCTGTGTTTAAGTGGTAGTCGCTGATACTTTCTGATATTGTAATGGATTGTTGGATGGGGTTAATTCTCTGTGTTTAATGTTTAGTCGCTGATACTTTCTGATATTGTAATGGATTGTTGTATGGGGTTAATACTCTGTGTTTAATGTTTAGTCGCTGATACTTGCTGATATTGTTATGGATGTTTGTATGGGGTTAATTCTCTGTGTTTAATGTTTAGTCGCTGATACTTTCTGATATTGTAATGGATTTTTGTATGGGGTTAACTCTCTGTGTTTAATGTTTAGTCGCTGATACTTTCTGATATTGTAATGGATTTTTGTATGGGGTTAACTCTCTGTGTTTAATGTTT